ATGACCCAGTGTTTCCACCTCTGGGTATATATCTGAAGACACCAATTCAAAAGAATATATGCACCCCTATGTTCACTGCAGCATTATTTCCATAGCCAAGAATGGGAAGCAACCCAAGTGCCCATCAGGAAACAAATGGATAAAAAAGCAGTGGTACAAGGGAATACAGTAAACCCTCAATTTAATGGACTTTGGATTTAAAGGACAAAATGTCCAGTCTATATGTCATATGTGAAAATTAACACCCTGTTAATTTTAAAATGCTTTTAACCAAGATGTGTTTATAATTAAACTTACAGGGTATTTTTTTGTTGTTATTTTTAACAAATTTTAGCAAATGGCCATATGTTGGAAAAAACACTGTAGTAATTTCGCTAACATAAATAAATATTACATATCTACAACGATACATACTTAAATCCACTTATAAACAATGTTCAGGGAATGATTAGCACGTGATCACACCACATCTCGCACAGTAACTATAACTAGTTCTGCTGCTGCATGGCGTGACAATCTGCAGCAGTTTTAATGCGTGCCCGGTTATTCCCAGGTGCACTAAGCCACGCCCCAGTTGTCTGCATTTGTTTACTCTTGGTGACCAGTGAATGCATGCGTTTACTAGACCTATTCAGTATAAATTTAAAATTACAGTAATACATACAGAAAACTTTTCTGTGAAATTAAACTTTTCATACATACTTACTTTTAATTACACAAACATGTCTACATAAGTAAAAAGAGGTAAACTAATTCGTCAATTGTTTAACATATGCGTTGGGAAACCTACTTTATTATATAACGGACTTCAGGCTTCAATGGACACTCCCTCACCCGAACTAGTCCTTTCTATCAAGGTTTTACTGTATTACTTGGCCATAAAAAAGAATGAACTCTTACTATCTGCAACAGCATGAATGGACCTAGTCCTAGAGGGTATTATGCTAAGTGAAATAAGCCAGACAGAGAAAGACAAATAGCATACGTGGAATCTAATGAACAAAATAAACTAACAAAACTGAAACACTTATAGATACAGAGAACAAACTGACGGAGGCCAGAGGGGATGGGCGTTGGAAGGCCAGGATGTAATAAGGCGATGGGATTAAGAAGTGCTAATTGCTAGTTACAAAATAGGCATGGGGGTGTAAAGTACAGCATAGGGAATATAGTTATTAATACTGTAGTAACTAACTATGCTGTGAGGCAGGCACTTGAGTTATACGGAACACTTTGCAACCTATATGAATGTCTATCTACTGTATGCCTAAAACTAACACAAAATAGTTTTGAATGCAAACTGTAATAGAAAAATAATTTTTTAAATTATATTTCCTTTATATGAATATAAACTTGAGGTAGTAGCAAGACAAAAATAATGCACAAATGTTCTTGAAAGAAAGGTAACTTTTGAGTTTTGTAAAATCTACAACACAACTGCTTCAAAACCCACACTTCCCAGACAGTAAGTCCGGCCATTAAGGGGATCTGTGACGAGCAATTCACTTTCTGAAAACAAGCTGGGTTTTCTGCTCAGAGGAAGGAGAACTGGGTGGCTACCTTGCAGAAAGCACTGGGCAAAGGTGCATTCTGAGTGCAAAGAAGGAGTGAAAGTGTTTGTCTCTTCTTCTATTTAGTGACTGTTTTTGGTTTTGGTTTTTTGAGATATATTTACATACCGTAACATTACCCTTTTAAAGTGAATATATTTCATAGTGCTTAGTATATTCACAAGGTGTGCAACCATCACCACTATCTAATTATAGAACATTTTCATAACCCAAAAAGAAACTCCATACTCTTTAGTAGTTCCTCCTCCTCCTCAGTCCCTGCTAACCAATAATCTACTTTCTGTCTATGGAATTGCCTATTCTGGACAATTCACATAAAGAGAATCATTCGATATGTGGCCTTTGGGTCTGACTTCTTTCATTTAATGTTTTCAAGACTCATCCATGTCATAGCATAATCAATTCTTCATTACTTTTTATTGCCAAGTAACATCCCACTATATTAACATACTATTTATTCATTCATCGGATGGTGGACACCTGGGTTGTTTCCATCTTTTGGCTATTATGATTAATGCTGCTATGAACATTCTTATACAAGTTTTCGTGTGGATGCAAGTCTTCCTTTCTCTTGGATATATACCAGGATTGGAATTGCTGGGTCACAGGATAACTCTGTATTTAACCTTTTGAGGAACTGCCAGGCTGTTTTCCACAGCAAGTGCACCATTTTACATTCCCACCAGCAATGTACAGGGGTTCTCATTTCCTGATATCCCCACCAAAACTGGTTGTGGTCCATCTTATTGATTGTAGCAATC